TTTCCTTAAGCAGATCACCACTGTTTTCACAGCACAGGGACCATGCCACCCTAACTGACCAGGATGAATATCTGACATTAGGGCAAGCATCTAAAGGTTACAGGCAGCTATCTCAGATAGGCAGAAATCCCAAGAAAAGAGAGAGTTTGCCAGTAATGACAGGAGCATTATCTGTACCAGTTAAAAGCAAAGAATAGTGGAGTTACTATACTGGCTGAACATTGGTGTAGAGAACCACAGCAACAAATAATCTGATGCTGAAGATACTCCAGAACTCTACTGAATCATGAAAGACCTTCTAGTTCCTGAATGACATCCCCACCTCCACAATATATAACCGTGAGATAGGTGAAATAATGATCTCCCTTCCCTTTATATACTTTGGGGAGGTGGTGATGGCGTGGCATTAATCCCATTAATTATGGTGGCATACTATATTCCTTATAACCTGAAAAATGTAACTAGAGATATGGGGGATCCAAAGAAAGGAGGGGTACCAGAATGGAGAATTGGAGGCTAGCTGTGAAAAACTAAATAATCCAGGTCCTTTTTTCTCTGTACACATTAGTAAGAAGCATCCATATCATGTAAATGGAAACAGCAGGACATCTCTAGAGAATGCAAGTTGCCATAAGATAAGTTCCTATTATGTAAACTGATGACTGGGAAGGTCATAGAAAGAAACGAAAATATCAGCTTTATATTCTGTATGAACTGTGGATATTAAATCCTATCCCTTGTCTCATCAAGAGTTTTCCTAGTCAAATGAAAAAACTCAGGAAAACTTTCTGAACACAGTATAAAAACCTCATTCTCAGAATTTCAGAAGCTGGAACTAAATTCTAGAACTTAGTCTTTAAACAAAGTTCAGTCACTGCTATAACAAAACATATGCTCTCTGGATAAAATTAGATACTCAGATTAAATAAAATCTAATTTTAACTGAACACTGAGTAGCTAAAAAGTTAAAATAGGACCCTGGCCAGTTTTGCTCAATGGTTAGAGCATCAGCCCTCAGACCAAAGAGTCAGTCATGGGTTCAATTCCAGTCAAGGGCATGTACCCCGGTTGCAGTTTGGATCCTGGTCAGGGTTGTACAGGAGGCAACCAATCAATATGTGTGTGTGTGTGTCTCTTTCCCCCTCCCTCCAACTATATCTGAAAATAGATGGAAAAAAAAAATTTAAATAAGGATTAATTAAATATAAGACTAAAAGAATTGAAACAGTTAAGTAATTTATGCTCCTTCCAAGAACTGAAAAGCAGTTCAGTGCTTTTTTATCCTCATCCGAGGACATTTTTCTATTTTTTGTTCAGATAGAATGGGAGGGAAAGAGAGGAAGAGAGAGAGAGAAACATCGACGTGAAAGGGACACATCGAGTGGCTGCCACCAGCACGACCAACCAGGGCCGGGGACAAACTGCAACCAAGGTACGCGTCCTTAGCGGAAACCGAAACCGGGTCTCTCTGGACCGCAGGCCGACACTCTCTAACCGCTGAGCCAAACCGGCCAAGGCTCTATCTTAATAACTAATAAACAGCTGCTTAGTTCTCACCCAATTCTACCACCTGGCCAGAAACATGCTCTACTTAGGATAGCCTGGAAGGAAAGAGGAAGTGGGATGAATATAAAATCTTTAAAAGTGGAGATCTTTATACAACAGAGTAAAACCAGGTAATACCTCACTTTACACAAACAAGAATATTAATCCTAAAATAAGACTTTCTCCTTCTAGACTTTCTTCCTAGTCCTTAATTTAAAAATACATGAGTGCCCTGGCTGTTTTCGCTCAGCAGTTAGAGCAGCAGCCCACCAACTGAAGGGCTGAGGGTTTGATTCCTGATCAAGGGCATGTATCTGGGTTGCTGGTTCAATCCCTGGCCCAGTCTGGGGTCTTTCAGGAGGCAACCAATCAATGTGTCTCTCTCATATCAATGTTTCTTTCTCCCCCCACCCCCCAACTCTATCTAAAAATCAATAGGAAAATATCCTTGGGTGAGGATTAACAACATCAACAACAAAATTATTGCTAAAAATATTAACCATCAACTGAGCCTTTAGCAAGTCATCATCTTTTTGCTGGAGGATCTTGCGTTCAATTTGTAAAACAAACAAACAGCCCTGGCCGGTTTGGCTCAGCGGTTAGAGCGTCGGCCTGCGGTCCGGAGAGACCCGGGTTCGGTTCCCCCTAAGGGCACGTACCTTAGTTGCAGTTTGTCCCCGGCCCTGGTTGGGTCGTGTGGGTGGCAACCCCTCGATGTGTCCCCTTCATGTCGATGTTTCTCTCTCTCTCTCCCTTCCACTCTATCTGAACAAAAAATGTCCTCGGGTGAGGATAAAAAACAAACAAACAAACAAACAAAAACAAAAAACGCAGTATAAAACTAGGTATGCCTGTACTATTTAAATATACAAAAGGTCAAAGTAAACTAACAAAGCAGTGAAACTTCTCTCCCCCGCTCCAAAATATCTTATGTGGAACACCAAAGTAAAGAGGCCAAGCATCTCTGACCCTCTGCAAAACCCTAGGATGTCTTTACATACAATTTGAACAGTGTCAAGCCAAGGAGACTACAAAGGAAAAATATTATATGAGAAAACTTTTTCAATTGCATTGCTACCACTTCCCCTTCAAGATGAACCAAAAAATAAAGACTACAGATTAGTCTGGGCAGGGATAAAAACCACACACACACACACACACACACACACACACCCAGTAGCCTTCCTTCTACCTTTTTTAAAAAAATACGTTTTTATTGAGCCTGGCTGGTGTAAACACACACACACACACACACACACACACACACACACCAGTAGCCTTCCTTCTACCCTTTTTAAAAAATATATATATGTTTTTATTGAGCCTGGGTGGTGTAGCTCAGTGTTTGAGCGTTGACCCATGCACCAAGAGGTCACTGGTTCGATTTCCAGTCAGGGCACATGCCCAGGTTGTGGGCCAAATACCCAGTGGGGGGCATACAGGAGGTGGCCAATTGATGTTCTCTCTCATCGATATTTCTCTCTCTTGCTCCCTCTTCCTTCCTCTCTCTCTAAAATCAATAAAAAAAATTTTTTAATTATAAATATATATGTTTGTATTAACTTTTTTTTAGAGAGAGAGGAAGAGAGAAAGAGAGAAACACTGATGTGAGAAAAAAACATCGATAAGCTGCCTCCTGCACCCACCATACTGGGGATCGAACCCGCAACCTGGGCATGTTACCTGACTGGAAATCAAACCTGGACCTCAGTCCATGGGACGACATGCAATCCACTGAGCCACATGGCTGGGCTCCTTCTACACTTCTAAACCAATCTTTTAACAGGCTCCAGTGTTTGCAATTTAAACTTGACATCCTCCATGAAAATCTTTATGAAGAGACACATTTTCCTCTAAAAATAGACAGTAAGTCTCTCCCCTCTGAATAGCTTTTTTTCCCCACTGTGAGACAGTCTGGAAAGTAAAAACTGTAAGTAAAATGACAACATATACATGTATTTTTTAACCTAAACAACAGACTTCTGTAATCCTGAACCAAGTCAGTTGCTTACAAAAATTTTTTTAAACAAGAGAATCAATGAAATTAGAAACTGACTGGATACTTGTAATATTAATAAATCATTATTAATATTCCTTAGGCTTGATGGTGGCATTGTGGTTGTGTTTTATATTCTGTTTCTACTGAGTTTTTTCCCTCAAGTATTATCTTTCAGATACACCTGAAGGATTTACACATGAAAGGATTTTGAGATTTGCTTTAAAATATCCAACAGGTGGATGAAATAGGACTGGTCATGTGATAACAATGATTGAAGCGGGGTAATTGGTACACAAAGCTTCTTATACTTATCTATTTTGTGTAACAAATGAAGGAAAAAAAATCCTATGTATCAAAACATCCTGTCAAAGGGAGCGAAATTCTTGTCCCACTACATCACCCAGAATTCTGCTTGTTTTTTTACTTATTCTGTTTGATTAATAATTAAGTTCTATTATTCATTCCACTCATCAGCCAGATGAGTGCTAGGTGAGGAAACGAGCTAGGATTCCAATTTATAAGAATTAATAATCTTATTTTAACTTCAAGACTACATATTTGTTTTGAGTTAGAATGATGAACTATCACGGATTGTTTTTTGTTTTAATTTACTTTACTGTACCCTGAGTATTTGAGCTAAATTTGGTGAGCGGTATACAAAGGTGAAAAGTAACAGATGTTCACTCCCAGGAAGTAAACTCTTTCAATGAGAACAGTAAAAGACTCAATCGAATGTGACACAGAAAAGTTACCAAATCTCGGGGTACTCCCTCCCCGCAAAAGCCTTTTAAGTGATGAGAAAGGAGCGACCCTGGTTGGTTGGTTTCATCTCCTCCCCCTTTATTAGGGGAGGTGCTTAGAAAGCAAAGAAATCACCAAAAGACTGGCCGGAAGAAGGAACGCGAGAAGCGTGGAGTCTGGACAACCAGTCCTTAAATAATTGAGAACTGTATCCAAATTAGATGAAATTAAGAGGGAGTTAAGTGTTAAACACCTCCAATGTACCTATGAGGCTCAAAAGTGGAAAAACCTGGCTGTAGGTACAGCTGATTCCAACTCCCTTCTCTCCCCGAGTATTCACAGGTACAAAGGCGTCAAGAGAACTCATCCAGACCCTCGCCTAAAGTAGCGTCACAAAAACAACCCCGACTCGACCGGGCCACGCCGGGAGCCCAAAACCACTGCCCCACTCTGAGGTCGGAGACCCCTCTTTCCCTGGCTGGGCAAGGGGTACCGGTGGGGCTGGGTATGGGCTGGGGAACCAGCCCGCCGCCAAGGCCCTCCGCACCTGCCCGGAACTGGGGTCTCGGACTCGCGGCGCCCACTCAGGGCCCAGGCCCGGTGCCCTGCGAGGTCGGCCTCGGGCCTCGACCCTGGTCCACCCCGTGCCGGCGGAACCCACGCGACCCCCTGAACCGCGCCGGCCGCCGCCGACAGGACCCAGACACTGGCTTACCTGTCCTCGCTCTTGTTTTTCTGCTTCTTCCCCATCGCGTGACAGCGGCACTCGTGGCCCCAACCCTTCTATTCGGTCTCTCACAGATCCACTGTCCACCGGCTGATTTCGGTCTCCGTTCGGCTCCGTCCCGCCCGCGCTGCCGCCTCTCGCACCCGGCTCTCCACAGACCCGCGCACTGGGACAGGGCACATATGGTGTGAGCCCTCAGTGCGCAAGCGCATCTTCCCGCCGCCTCAGCGTGGGGACGCAGGGCGCGGCTCATCGAGAGCTGCCCTCGGGTAGAGCGTCTCCACTTCACCCCGCCTGGCAGGCGGGAGCCCGAGCGCCCCCTTCCCGCAAGCGTCTGCCACGCACCGATGCCCCCGCGGTTTCCAAGTTCTAGAACCCAAAGGCCAACAATGAGGCTGAAAATGCCCCACGTTGGCCCCTGCGGGCCTAGAAACGCAAGACTCGGGAAATTGGAGCTCAGTCAGATGCCAAGCTTGAGCTGGGCTTCCTTTCCACCTTTTAACCTATACACTTTTGTATTTTCAGCTGCCCGAAGTTTAGTAAAGAACCACAAAGAACCAAATGAAGGGGAGGGGCACATAATGAAAATAGAATCACAGTTTAACATGATTCACCTTACTAACTATAGATAAAGGTTTTCTTACAGACCATGGGAAACTGGAGGATGTGCTGCAAGAAGAAAAATAGGGCTGTAAAATACTCACATAAATACGTTTTGAGAACAGACCAAGGACAAGACAGGCTTTGATTTGATTGCCGTGCCTGGACCCTGACCACCCTACCCCCCATACAAACACACGTCTGGGATTTTGTGTGGGGAATGCTAGCCATTCTCAGGTCCCAAGAACAGGCTGAACTGTTTGAAACATAGATTAGTCACCTTGTTATCAGAGTTTGACCTCCTGAAGGCCAGACTGCAGACCCGACCCTCCCCTTTCCCTGGTACACTGCAGCTGCACCTAGTTATCTTCTTCCTCCCCAGTATATAATCAGCCAACTGGAGCGGGGGTGTCAGAGTAGAACATGCAGGGTGACTGACTACTCTTCCCATACCACCGGCATTATTGGAATAAATACTCATATGCCATTCAACCCTGACTCTGCTTAATTTGGCTCAAGTAGTGATAGGTGGCCTCTGACTCATTGCCTATGGAATGACCAAGTTAAGAGCTCCGGTTGTTCCCAAGGGAGAAAATCCAGGATAAAACTGGGCTTCTCAGTAACTCCGTAAACTAGCAAGTGTGTCCAGTCACTAAAAAAATAAAAATAAAACAAGGACACACCTATTAAGTCCCCCAAATAGGTCAATATTTAGAAAGCAAGTTCCAAAAATGTGTGTTAGGGAAGTCATGAAGGACCTGAGGGTGGCGAAATGTGCTATATCTGGATCTGGTCAGTGATATGTGTTAACTACAGAAAAGCTAATCATGCTGTATGTTACAGTTCAGCTTGTTTTAAATGTTCAGTAGGATGGCAACGAAGATGGAGTGTCACTCTTGAATAAGAGCGTAGCTATCTTTTTTCTGATATAAATCATGTGTTCATACAGAGGTTCAGGGCCTAAGTCGGACAACTCCGGGTGAGCACTACGAAACTACAACCCCCAGCGTTCTCCGCTCTCGCGCCCTCTGGGCTGTTTAAATGAAGGACCAGCAACCTCGGGTTGGGGACGCTGTGTGGGCGGTGCAGAGATCTAGGCTCTCGCCGCAGGCCCGTCCTCCTCCTCCCTCACTTCCTGGGGCGTTGCAGGCTGTGAAGCGTAAGGGCCTCAGCCAATCTGGAGGCGGAAGTGACGGCCGGTTAGTAGCCATTAGCAGCTGCTGCGAGACGGAAGCTAGAGTGGACTGTCTTCAGGAGCCGCTGGTCCGTCATTTCTCAGGTGTCACCGAGAGCTCAGGTAGGGCTGGGATGGTGTGAAAAAGACGGCCACCGCATCCCTGTGCTAATGGACACGGTGCCGTTCAACCTCCGGCCAGGGCGGGGGAGGGGCGCGGCCCAGGGGCCGGTGTCGGTGCTGCCGGGGCGGCTTTGGAGCATGCGCTCCGGGAGGCGTTGAAGTCGGGGCCACCTGAACTCTGCCCTCATCTGTTCCCGGGGGCTCAGGGAGTGACAGTTTGCTCTTGGGAAGGTACTGCTCGCAGTTAAGGAGGAGGCTTCTTGGTTGGTTGAGCGGGTGCACATAGGGAGATCAAGGAATCGGATAGCTGATTTGAGAACAAGCCCTTTCCCACCATTCCAGCTGAACTGAAAAGAAGAAAGGAAGGAAGAATCAGAGGCTTATGGTTTGAACAATGGAAAGTTCTAAGGATCGCTAAACTGTCATCTTTCCCCTTTTGAATGCGGTGAACACCACCGCCTGCCCCCAGAGCAGCTCTTGTTAATCGCTTCTACTCTAAGTTATCCCAGCACTAAATTCTGAGCTCATCCTGTAAAACTCCGGGAGTAAGCATCGCTACACCCCTGGTAAGAACAGGTTCTGACATGCAACTCAGGGTGTAATACCCAATTTTTGGCCTCATCCAGCTCCTAATAAAGGTCAGTCTTGCTGACATTTTTCTTGGGAGGTAGGGAGTGTAAAATTCTTTTACTATATTTGAAATACAATTCCTTTAAAGTTTTATAGCATTTATGAGGAACTTACAGTTTGTTCATTGAAAGTTAACAAATATTTTTTGAGGATCTTCTATGCCCCAGGCATTGCTAGCTTTTGAGATTCAAAGGTGAACTGAAGCGTGCGTTTCAACCGCTTTTCCTTTGAAGAAAAAGGGATCAGAAGTGAAATTTGCAGGAAGGCTAGTTCTCTTCAGTTCAGCAGGTGTAGAGGGTCTGAGTGGGCCAGGCTGTGTGTGAGAAGGTGGTGGATGAGTTCACAGTTCATTAAGATTTCTTAAAGTGCTTTGTTACTATTTGCAAATGTATCAAATTAGTTGAGATGCAACAGCCTCCTGCTTTGATAAGCAAATTACAAATTTTATTTCTGTAGTAATTACCCAGGAATACACATAAAAATTGCCATCTGAGTGTTGCTGGTGGAAAATAATACTACATTTATTTTTATTTTTTTAAAAATCATTTAGTGATTTTTTTTTCTTTTTTAGAGAGAGAGAAAGAGGGAGAGAAACATTAATTTGTTGTTCCACTTATTTATTAACTCATTGGTTGCTTCTTGTATGTGCCCTGATGGGCAATTGAACCTGCAACCTTGGCATATTGGGGTGATAGTCTAACCAACTGAAATACCGGGCCAGGACAATACTGCATTTTCTTTACTACCAATTTAATTGAGATCTTCCTTTCTAATCTGAATTAGAGTATGTTTATAAACTCCTATCTTACATAGAGGAGTGATGGGAAAAAATCAATATTCTTTTGTGGTTGTTAATCCTCATTTGAGGATATTTCTTCATTGATTTTTAGAGAGAGAGAGAAACATCAGTGTGAAGAGAGACACACGGATAGGCTGCCTCCTGTATGACCCAGACCGGGGCCAGGGATTAAACCCGCAACCCAGGTACATGTCCCTGACTAGAAATTGAACCTGTGACCATTCGGCCTGTGGGCTGATGCTCTAACCACAGAGCATAACTGGCCAGGGTGGAAAAATCAATATTTTTAATATTTAGAGTGTTATATTGTTTTACATCAAAGTTAAGAATACTGAGTGTTGCCCTGGCTGATTTGGCTCAGTAGTTAGAGCATCAGCCCTTGGACCAAAGAGTCTTGGGTTGGATTCCAGTCAAGGGCATGTACCTGGATTGTGATTTGGTCCCTGGCCCTAGTCGGTCATGCGGGAGGCAACCAATCCATGTGTCTCTCTCACACTGATATCTTTCTCTCTCTCTCTCCCCCCCCCCTCTCTCTCTCTCTCTTCCTCCCACTCTGTTTGAAAATAACTGGAAAAATATCCTCAGGTGGGGATTAAAAAAAAAGAATACTGAGTGTCAATAAATCAACACCAATATCAATCTTGTGGCCTCATTGATTTTGTTAGGTAATGGGAGAACAGGAATGGAAACTGAAGCTTAGGGAACACCAGACACCGTTCTTTACATAACTTGTAATGGGCTCTCTTAGGAGTTAAAGAAACGAAAATTATTTAGGTAAAGACCATGAAAAATGTGTCTTTTGGTCAACTTTGCTGTGTGTTGAAGCAAAGTTTGGTATGTATGCGTAAAACCTCGCAACAGTTCAATGTGACCATTATTTAGTCATTTCTGCTTTGCTTCCCTTTCCTTTGGTAAAGAACACTGATTGTCGGTATATATCACTAGGGATAGCTCCAACTACTGTAACTCCCAACTACTCAATTTTTCTCTGGTTTGGTGATGGTCTTAAAGACTTACTTTACTTTTGTATAGTAAAATAAAAACTGAATCAGATGCACCTAAACTTTGCTCTAAATAGTTTTTGAGTGCTGTAACTGTAACCTATTGAAATTTTAATACACTTAAATAAAAATTCTTTTTTTATCCTCACCCGAGGACATTTTTTTCATTTTTTTGTTCAGATAGAGTGGGAGGGAGAGAGAGGAAGAAAGAGCGAGAGAAAAACATCGATGTGAAAGGGACACATCAAGTGGCTGCCACCTGCATGACCCAAGCAGGGCCGGGGACAAACTGCAACCGAAGTACGTGCCCTTAGTGGGAACTGAACCCGGGTCTCTCTGGACCACAGGCCGATGCTCTAACCACTGAGCAAAACCTGCCAGGGCAAATAAAAATTCTTAAGCCTAACATGAAGTGCTTGTTTGTCAGCAGAACACTTTGTGGACACAAATTATGCACTTCCTGGAATTTTTTAAAATAAGAGAGAAAACTTACTGTTTATATTTTTCCCCCCAACTTTGTAAACCTCACCAGCAGCAAGGCTGAACTGTAAAGAATGGAAGCTAATGCATCTGTCGACATGTTTTCAAAAGTCCTGGAGAATCAGTTGCTGCAGACCACCAAACTAGTAGAAGAACATTTGGATGCTGAAATTCAGAAAATGGATCAGATGGACGAAGATGAATTGGAACACCTCAAAGAAAAGAGACTTAAGGCACTAAGGAAAGCTCAACAGCAGAAACAAGTAACCTCTCTGCCCTGCTTTCTAAAATTACTTTGATAGTATGCACCTAACACAGCTTAAATATACACATGCAGCAGTAGTAGAAACATTCCAGTCCTCATTTTTAAGGTTTTGTTGTT